TCTTAAAAATATGTTGATAACCTATCAGATAATCTGATTATAAAGTGTCTTGATGTGGGTCTCTGAGTTAATCTTTTCAAAGGTTGTTGGGCTCTTTGGATGTTTATAGTCATGTCTTTCACTAAATTTGAAAACCTTTTATCCATTATTTATTCAAGTATCATCTCTGCCCCTTTTCTCTTTATTTTCCTTCTGCATTTTTCATGAAGAGTATGTGGATTCTCCTCACAGTGTTCCACTTGTCCCTTAGGCTCTGTTTACTATTCTCTAATCATTTTTCTTTCTTTTCCTCAACTGATACGTTCCATTGTCTTGTCTTTAACTTAACTGAATATTTCTTCCACTAAAAAGTGACTTTAAATCCCTCCAGTGTATGCTTCATTTCAGTTACTGTACTTTTCAACTCCAGTATTTCTTTTTAGAATTTCTATCTCTATTGGTATTTTCATTCTGTTCATACATTGTTACCTTCACTTCTCCACATCTTTAAGACAGTTGTCTTAAAGTCTTTGCTTAGTAAATCTGCCATCAGGTCTTTTTCAGAAACTGTTTCTGTTAATCTTTTTCCTTTGAATGGGCCATACTTTCCTATTCGTTTGTAAGTCTTAGGAGTTTTTGTTGAAAATGAATATTTGAATATAATAATGTGTAACTCTGGAAATCAGGTTGATATACTTCTCTAGGTTTTTCTGTTTTTAATTGCTTTAGGCTGTCTCTATAGCAAGGCTCAGTCTGAGATATAAAGTTTAGGTCTTTTCAGGTCTTTTTTGAGCCTGCTTCTTTCCCTGGAGATGTGTAGTTTTTTTCAATTTTTTATCATATACATGCAACTGGTTTTGATATCCTTAATTCTACATTCCATAAAGGGAAAAAGAGAAAAAATTAAGAGCAGTAAAAAGTGTGTTGGTTGAAATGCCCTTTCAGAAAGGCACTTCAGTCAGAGAGGAAGATGCTTACAACAATGGTAGGGGTGTACCAATGGCCAACTTCCTCTTTACACCTCTGTAATCAGAACCAGCAATTAGCAATCAAAACACAGATCCCCCTGAGGTTTGGAGGACAGTGTCCTTTTTGCCCACCCTAGCTCCATAAGCCTTGCACAAGCTGCTTCAGGAACAAATACATGGTTGGGACTGTGGATGGGAAGATGAGTAGTTGCTACTGTGCTAAGAGTTAAAAATAACTGAAACTAAACATAACTTGCCTCCAAACGTTCTCCTGGAAATAACAAGTCTTCAATAGACTCAAGTTCCAAAATAGTTACACTAGGCAGATTCTGCAAGGGCAACTGTCTAGAAAAGGAGACAGATTTCTTTCTTTTTTTTAAATAAAGATTTATTTTTATTTATACAAGAACCAGGGTACAGGCCAGATGCACGGGAGGGTGAAAGGATTCACCAGAGACAGAGTGGGGAACAGAACAAGCAGCCTGACTGACATCCACTGCTGAGGGGAGCAGCAGGCGAGACAGGAGAGGTCCACCCAGCCATGTGGGCATCTCCCCGGCTGGCTAGCATCGAACCCGCACTGCAGTGGCTGCGAACAGCCTCTGCAGCGTGGAGCTCAACCTCCTGCACTACCAGGGAGGTTCAAGGAGACAGACTTCTGATGCTTCCTATGCTGTCATTGTTCATAAGCATAATTACCTTATACAAAGTATATGACACAGGACCTCACTGGTGGCTCAAGGGGTTAAGACACAACCCATGAAGCTATCACCAGCCTCTGTAGCACGAGTTCAAGCCCCAGCCAGGGAGCTGACCCACATGGTACAGCAGACGTCCTCCTAACTCGCCTGCTGCTCCCCTCAGCAGTGTATTTCAGTCAATCTGCCTGTTCTGCTCCCCACTCTGACTCTGGTGAACCCTGCATCTCTGGCCTGTACCCCAGCTCTTGTATGCATAAATAAATCCTTAAAAAAAAAGTATATGACACAACTTCCTGTCTAAATCAATTTCCTAGTTCCATAGTTTTTCTATTCTCTTGGATTTTTTCAAGTAAACAACCACAGAATTGATACTCTGTCTACTCTTTTGAAATATTTATTTCTCTTATTTCTTGATCCAGTCTAGCTAGTATTAAAAAGTATTATTGGTAAATTATTGGCAAGCATTCTTGTCTCTTTTTTTTGGTTTCTTTGAATATATTGCTAGTACTTCTATATTAATTATGATATTGTCTTTTAATATTATTAATTTCTATCGGGCTCTGAAAGTTTTCTTTCATTTATTCTTTACTAAAATTTTTTCCCACCAACAATTTGATCAAACATCATGATGATATAAAAATTTTCTTTGGGGCCTCCCTGGTGATGCAAGCAGTTGAGTGCAGCACTGTGAAGCTGTCCACAGCCTCTGCAGTGCGGGTTTGATCCCGGCCAGCCACAGAAATACCCACAAGGCGCAGCAGACCTCTCCTAGCTCAACCGTTGCTCCCCTCAGCAGTGTATTTCAGTCAGTCTGCCTGTTCTGTTCCCCACTCTGTCTCTGGTGAATCCTCTCACCCTCTCACACCTTTTGTCTGTACCCTAGTTCTTATATGCATGAATAAATAAATCTTTAAAAAATAAATTTTTCTTAGTTAACACTGAAACATTTAATGTATTTTCTAGCACTGAAACATTCTTATATTCTAGGAATAATATGCACTTGGTTTTAATATAATGTTGAATTTCACTTGAAAAGACTTCATATTATTTTTTTCTTCTTTAAAAAAATTCAAAAAGTGACTGATTTATGATTTTCACTTCTGTACTGTCTTTAGTGCTTTTTTGTCCATGTTATACCTCATAAATGGTACAGGGAAGGTTTCCATATTTTTCTCCATTTTGGAGAATAACTTGTTCTTTGCATGTGTGAATCAAGTTATCTATACAATCTGAACTAAGCCTAGTAGCATGCTTTTAAAATAATTTTTCTTTTGTCTTTAGGTGTATTCAAGTTTCCTACTTCTTTCTGAATCATTTTCCTTAATTAAGTCTTAAAATCATACTTTTTATTCATATCTTCATAAAATTTTGATATAGGCTAATATGATATTTTCTTTTTTTTGATACTTAAAAAGGTTTTATTTATTTTTTATTTTTTTAAATAAATTTTATTTTTATATTCCCTGTACAATTGCAATCCCCTTATTTTGACCCCAATTCCTCCCCTCCCCGCGCCCTACCCCCCATAGAGTGTCTCTGGTTCATAGTTTTTTGTTGATTTTGATTTTCACTTTCTTATAGTTATTCATTTTCCTGGCCCCTTATTTAAGTTTTCTAGATTCCTGCTATGAGTGAGACCATCCGGTATTTTTCTTTTTCTTTCTGGCTTATTTCGCTGAGCATGATCCCTTCCAGCGCCATCCATATAGCTGCAAATTGCATGTGTTTATCTTTTTTGAATGCTGAGTAATATTCCAAGGTGTATATGTACCACATCTTCTTGATCCAGTCATCTATTTTTGGGCATTTGGGTTGTTTCCAAAGCTTAGCTTTTGTAAACAATGCTGCTATAAACATAGGGGTGCAGGTGCTCTTAGGAATTGATGTTTCTGTGTCCTCTGGGTAAATACCTAGGAGTGGAATTGTTGGATCATATGGAAGCTCTATGTTTAGTAGTTCTAACAAGTTTTAATCTTCATCTCTGATTATCTCTAATTTCTAATGTAATTAAAAATTTCTTTCTTTGGATAAAGAGTTGCTAGAGGTTATCAATTCACCTGATTTGCTCAATAAATAATCAGTTTTCTTTTCCTGCCTTCTAATTTGTCATAAAATGTTCATCCCCTCTTTCTTGTCACCAGTTTATTTTATTGTTCTCTCACATTTCATAACATGAATGCCTACTACCTTTTATTTTCAGTCTTTAGTCCCGTATGTTTTTCAATTGGTAAAGCTTTGGGTAATGCTCATCAATGTGCCTTTCCATGCATTACAATCTGTCTCCTAATTTACTAAGGCATAGATCATCTATTAATTGCCAAAGATAACAAACCCGCTTTCCTTGTTTTACTACAACTCTTCATTAACTATGCCTTCCTTCTTGAAACTCTCTTCTCATGACTTTTCTGATAAAATCCTCTTCTCATTTTTCTCTTTCCATCCTGGCCACTCTCCTATCTATATGCCATGTCATTTTTCCAAATGATTTTTCTAATGAATAAAAGATTTGTTTATTTGAGTCACACATGAGCATCAGAAAATAGACTTTAGATAAAGATTTCTCTGAACATAAGAATATGAAATTGACCAAAAACTCTGGATTGTTACCCACTGTTCTAAACTACATTTCAAAATCTATTCCTAATATAATCAGTCTATTAGATAGAGCAGCATGAAAAAAAAAAAAAAAAAAAAAGCCAGCATGATGACTGTGATATATCCTTGAAAAACTTGATTACCTAATAATAAAACAAAAATAATGAGTCGATCGTCTGTAAACCCATTCCTTAAGGGGGTGCTATAGTACATCGCTCAATTTAAAATATTAGCTCTCAGATAACACTTTCAGTTTTCTCTTGTTTTATTTGTGGGGTTTTTCTCTTATCATGTTTGTTTTCATAATTAATTAATATATATACCTCAAAAAGCATAAACTTCATAAGGACAAAGCTTGGCCAACAAAAAGTGAAAATATAAGTAGGCTATTTAAAAAAGAATATTTAGTAGGAGTTTCATTTTTCGAGTTTCAGTTTTCCAACCTGCAGGTCACCTTAGCACTTACCTATACATAATTAAGTTTGCTTTAACTACAAATCTTTTATTACAAAAAACAGTCGTGAAACCAGGGTTTAAGATTTTAGCTCCAATTATAACTCAATGTTATATTGTTCCAGGAACATAGAATATAAACCTAGATCCAGTAAGTCATCTCAAAATGAATTTTGTTACAATGAAATCAAAAGAGCACTGTATGAAATTGGAAAAAAATTCACAAATGTAAAAACAGGTAAACAGTTTTAAGAGTGAAAAATTCATATTCACATAGTTTAAGAATTACCTTTTTCAAACATACCTTGTCCATTAATTTACTTGCATGAAGACTCAAGCTATTAAAGAATATTTTTTTGCTAAGCAAGTGCATTTCTTCAATGGTAGTCAACAGAGTAGTCGCACTATTTCCAACAATGCCACTAAAAACAAAGAATATTTCAGATTACAAAATGGAAGCTAAAATAGGATGTCTGAACAAAGTCATGGTATTATTAAATAGATAACTTGAATATCATTTTACCACTATCTTCGTACAGTATTACATTAGCTATATGTTAGTTGATTTCATCTGCTCTGGAGTTTTCTAATAGGTATATATCATTAACTTATTTTAGGAAGCCTATACCATTATAATTTAAACCAATTTATTGCTTTTGAATAATTGATGTTTGATAATAAATTCATATCTATTTATAGACAATTGGTTCCTAAGCAAGTAATGTAGTTTTGACTTAGAAAAGATAAAGCTATGGTTCTATTTCAACACAAATAGAAAACTAAATATTAAGGAACAATTTGCTATTTATATACCAATGAAGATATTTCACTCATTATGTCCCAATTTGAGTATAATACACAGTTGCCATAGTTGCCATGGCTCTCTTTTACTAATTCAGGAAGAATCAATGAATATTTACATTATAGACTTACACTAATAAACAGGTTGTGTGTGTGCATATGTGTTTAATGTGTATATAATTATATTTGGAGAAATGGAAAAGGAAATGATAGATCTCAAAGTATGGTACATATAATATGCACATAACAATTCATATGATGAGGAAGTTCTACTAACACACAGTCATGAAAATAGTCAAAACCAAAACAACATTATACTATGTTCTAATCAAACAAGGTATCACATGAGCTTTAACTAGCACTTTTCACCATTCCACTTACCTGATTGTATGGTGGTAAAATTTGAGGAGATTAGAAATCTTATATAATAAAACTGCCCCAGGCTCAGCAACTATTACTTGTTCAATTCGAACCTATAAAAACATGGGAGGAAAGATTAAACATTTCTTTAAGAAAATCTAACTTTTCTTGCAGAAATCACAGAATTCCTTTTAAATAATTCTGAATATTAAATCATAGGGGATGATGAAAAACAAACATTTTAACACAGATATACTCTATAAAAAGGATCCACTACCTACAGAATTTGGCTCAAGGCAGTTGTTACCAGAAATAACTAACACAGTGATGTGATCATTCTGAGGTATTTTACCAGTATATAGTGGAATTTAGGTCAGCACTAAATCACAAAACAACTTTTACATTTCTAATAATAGATTGTTAGTTTGAATGTACTGCTCAATCACCAAATGTTCAGAAAAAAATTAAAAAATTTTTTTTTATATTAGAGAACAGAAAAGCAGACAAACCTCAATTACCACCAACATATTTGTCTAATTATAAGATAACCAGGACAATATCTGATCTAGTTATATCTGATTTAGTTAAAGATTAACGTGATGTATCTCAGGATTCATTATTAGGAATCTTTTCCAAATTAAATGCCATCCTCACTGATATTTCCCTTACTTTATATTTAATTAATGAATACAATCTAAACCACACTGATATGTGGTTATTTACATATTACATCTATTCCTAAGTTGCTGCTTATACTGAGTTTTCTTGCTTCCTAGTGCACTTCAAACACAGATATTGTGTTTTCTGCTTCTTTTACATCTAGCAGCATTTGGTAGAACAATGGTATATACACAACAGATGTTTAATAAATGGCTCTGAAAGTTGAAGTTTCTCTGTACTTAAATTTTGGAATATGTTACAATGCCAACAAATACAACTTGCTAAAATGAAATTTTATAAATGTATGTGATACATTTATATGAGCATACAAAAGTCTTTTGAATTACTGAAATTAATCCATGTTTACTTTAGCATGTTTATGGAACTGGTATATCTGTTGTCATAAAATAATAGATGAGCTAACTATCACAATATTATAAATCATGAATGGCATATGAACCTAAAACCATAATTTCCATATTACAATTTCTTTTTAGCTCCAAGGCTGCAATAGTGATTTATATTCTATACCAATAAAAGTAATATTTTCTGTATTTTAATATAAGTATTAGGGCAAAATATAAAGGATACTAATTGTACTCGGGCAGCTCTTCCCTGAAAAATTTATAAAACCATCTCAGCTTTCTGGCAATATCCCTTCTAGAATTTTCAGGTATGAAAAAAAAAAACCAAGACACCTCTTCATTCCAACTCTCTTAAGACAGAAAGAAGAAAGGACAGGAGAGAAGAAAGAAGTAAAGGGAAAGAGGAGAGTGAGGAAAGAAGGAAAAGAAAATGAAAACAACTTTTATCTTTATTCAAACACACAGTGGTTTTTTTTTTGTTTGGGTTTTTTTTTTTGTTTTGTTTTTTTAAAGATTTATTTATTTATTTATACAAGCACTAGGTACAGTCAGAAAAGCAGGAGGGTGAGAGAATTCACTAGAGCCAGAGCGGGGAGCAGAACAGGCAGATGGACTGAAGACACTGCTGAGGGGAGCAGCAGGCGAGGCAGGAGAGGTCTGCTGTGTCATGTGGGGTTCTCCCTGGCCGACAGGGAATCGAACCAGCACTACAGAGGCTATGGACAGCTTCGCAGTGTGGTGCTCAACTGCTGCGCCATCGGGGAGGCCCCACACAATGGTTTTGAAGGAGAGGGACATTCTTTCAGTGTGCCACTATCTATCTTATGAGTCTAACCATTTTCAGCAAAAAGTAACAGTAATGGGAAAAACAACGAGATAAGAGAAACAAAAATTTAAGAGTAAAAGATCAAAGAAGTGCTAGTAGCAGCAACTTGCTGGAAATCAGAATGGTGACAAAGAAAAATCATTAGCAGAGCTTTAAAGGAGTGATAGGAATAGTGGTTCAGAGATAAAGTTTTTGGAACAAAACTTTATATGTCCCTGGCATATAAAAAACACTCAATAAATCATAAGTACCTATATTATTATAAGTGGCACAGATGATAAATGCAAAAATTAAAAGTAGCAAAATGTGCTGTAGGCAAACTGATAACAATCTTGGGAAGAGATAAAACAGAATATCTCAGAATATCAGATAAAACAAAACATCTCCTCTCTGATGCCAGAGGGACAGGCAGAGCAAAAGCAAGCATGATAGAACTAGAGAAGGAAAGAATTTGTGTTTATGAGGAAGAGAACAGAGAAGGCAGAATTGAAGAGGATAAGAATAAAGTTCCTTTACATTTATTATCTTATTATCACCACAGATAGTAATAAGGGTACATGCCTGTCCCAAGTGCATATCACTAATCTGAGGGCCCTGACTATCTAAAGAAAACACAGCATACAGGTCTATTTTCCACCATCTCACAGCTTACACAAAAATTAACCCAAAATGGATTAAAGACATGTATATAGACCTGAAATGATAAAATACAGAAGAAAATATGGGCAAGACACTCCAGAACACTAGCATCAGTGATGTCTTTGTAGACTTGTTTCCTATGGCTAGAGAAACTAAAATAAATAAATGGTAAATCAAGTTAAAAAGTTTCTGTGCAGCAAAAGAAATTATCAGTAAAACAAAAGACAACCAACTGAGTGAAGAAAAAAGTTGCACAGCATTCATCTGACAATGGGCTGACCTCTAAGATATATAAAGAGCTCATGTAACTCAACAAAAAGAAAACAACCTAATCAAAAATGGTCAGAAGAACTAAACAGGCACTTCTCCAAAGAAGACAGACAGGTGGCCAACAGGCACATAAAAAAACTGTTCATCACTTATCATCAGGGAAATACAAATCAAAACAATGAGAAGTGGCCCTTATCAAAAAAACCCGAAACAAGCAATGGCAAGGATGTGGAAAAAAAGGAACTCTCGTACAACACTGGTGGGAATGTAGACTGGTCCAAACTCTATGGAAAATAGTACTGAGATTTCTCAAGATACTAAAAATAGATCTAACATATGACCCAGCAATTCCACTCCTAGGTATCTACCTGAAGGATGCAAAAACACTCATTCAAAGGGATACATGTACTCCTTCATTCATTGCAGCACTGTTTATAATAGCCAAAACTATGGAAGCAATCTAAGTGCCCAAGGACAGAGGAGTAGATTATAAAAATGTGGTGTATACACAGTGGAATACTACTCAGCTATCAAAAAAAAAATGAACCCTTGCTATTTTTGAAAACATGGATGAAAATGGAGGGGGTAATGTGAAGCGAAATTAGCCAGAAGAAGAAAGACAAATACTGGATAATTTCACTTATATGTGGCATATAAAGAAACAAAACAAAGGAACAGATAAAACCAAACCAATAACAAACTCTAAAACTCTGACTAGAATTGAGGGTACAAGAGGGAGAGGTATGAAAACACAATGGAGAGGGGACGCAAGGAACCAAAGAAGAGGTCTATGGGTGCCTTGGTGGCAGTGTGGTGACACACGTCTGAGGTGTAAGCCTATAAGCCTATGTTCCTAAACCATACACAATGTTGTAAACCAATATAACCTCAATAAAAAATGTTCTTTCTCTTACATTAATGTGATTAATGTGTTAACTTCACAAATTTACAACTTGAATTCAAACTTTTATCAGTTTCTTTAATCTCTAAGAATAAAATAGTAATTTAGCCAGAAACTGTATAAAATATGTAAAAACAAAATATTTTACCTTTAGAGGCCTACACACACCCTCAGTGATATGTCCCACAACTTCTTGAATATTTTCTTCAACACCTACAATTATAACATAATTGAATTTTTTTCCATGTTTACCTTGGTTCACTTAAATTTTAAAAAAATGATATATATGATGAAGAACGCTAATAAAAAACATTTATTTATTTTTAAAAAGATTTTATTTATTTTTGCAAAAAAGAACTGGAGTGTAGGCCAGAGGTTTGGGGGCTGAGAGGATTCACTAGAGATAGCATGGTGAGCAAAACAGGCAGATCTACTGAGATATACTGCTAAGGGGAGCAGTGGGCAAGACAAAAGAGGTCTGCTGTGCCATGTGGGTTAGCTCCCTGGCTGGGGATCGAACTCAGGTCACTGCAATGGGCAGTTTCATGGTGATAGTACTAAGACTTAACCCCTAGGCCAACCAGACAGGCCCAATAACAAACATTTTAAATAACCATAACAATAATTTGCTACATTTAATATATTTTAGGACATTACTAACAATGTTAATATCTGAGTCTGTAGTCCTTAATTGAGTATTAATTAATAAAATGAATATTTCCTTCTATAAAAGAATAAATATATGAGTCATAGATGAGATGAGCACATAAGATGAGATAGAAAACAGACCTTGCAATCTAATGGGAAAAATGATATTCATTAAATACTATTTCTCAAGCTATAGAGCTGTACTGGGTACTTGATATTTACTGCTTGTAACTTCAACTTTACAGATAGAGAATCTCAGGCTGAGAAGAATTAAGCCATCCCCACACAATTATCTCTACCATTTCACTCTAATCCATTTTCTTTCACCTCTTAACACTGCCTTTCATATGTACTAAAACATCTTTTAAGAAATATATTCCTTGAATTGGGTAATTAGAATAAGAGAAAATAAATTTTAAAAGTGTAGAATTTGTGCTAAATTAACATATACTATTTAATCTCAATATCAAAGAATTAAAAAAAACAAGATGGTTAGCAGTGTCATGACCAGCCTCTTCTATACAGGGCAGAGATGTGGAAAATAGTCATGTGACACCAGTGACAATATTTCATTCCTATCAAAAATTGAACATCTTAATTATCCATTGACTTCTCAATTCTCAAGAAGGCATCTTAAGGTAGTCACAACTAAGATCTGAAATCCTATAAACAGACACCAACAGCTCAAAAAATGCCCTTTTTCTTCCTTGAAATCAAGACCAAAATTTTAAGTGCATTTAGTACATAGGTACTAAATGTGCATTTAGTACATAGGTACTATTGAAAAAACTTTAAAGTCATATAAGGATGAAAACAGGGATTAGATAGCAGAAAGAATTGTTAGCATGATGACCTTAAGCAAGTCACTCACCTTGTTACAAAATGAAAATAATATCACGTTTTTACCTTTGATGTGTGGAGCAGAAGATCTGAGGTACTGTACACTAGGTACTCCAGAAATGCCTTAAAAGTGAAGCAGAGGAGTCTAAACTGGAAATGGAAGGTAATAAGGGTCCACTATAAAAGTGTGAACAGTTGTGTGACAAGATAAGTGATGAAAGAGAAAGTCTGTTAGCAGAATAAGGAGGAAGCTAGGGAGGAAGATTAATTAGGATGCTTACTGTACCATAAGGAATTTATCTTCATGAAGAAGAGCAATAAATAGAGGGCCTCCTGCTGGCACAAGGGGCTAAGTCACAGAACTATGAAGCTATCCGCAGCCAGGGAGCTAATCCACATGGCGCAGCAAACCTCTCCTGACTTGCCCAATGCTCCCCTAAACAGTGTATTTCAGTCAATCCGCCTGTCTGTTTCCCTCTGTCTCTGGTGAAGCCTCTCACCCCTTGCACCTCTGGCCTATACCTCAGTTCTTGTATGCATAAATAAACATTTAAAAAAATAAAGATAAGTCTTATTTTCTATATTTAGTCATTAGTAATAATTGTCAGAGGACCCACCTTGTGTAGTTACATGCTTTAAGAGAGCTTCAAGGTGTTCTTTTTCAGAAGCAGTAGCTTGATGGAGCCAAGCCAACATATCTCCTACATATCTAATGAAAAAACAAAATGTCAGTAAATATTTTCTTCAGAAAAACATCAATATTTCAATGTAATCTGATTACTATACCTCAAAGGGTCATGAGAATGCATTTCAATGGGTCTAGGTGTACCTCCTGGGCCTCCTCTTGTAAGAGCATCAATGAATCCACGGACAACTGTACTTCTTCTGGCTGTTCCAAATTCATCTAAAGTGTACCTAGAAAAACAAGTTATGTGAAAGATAGTTGTTTAACTTGCTAATGGTTATATCAAAATATTTAAGCAATTTCTTAAGCAAGTAAGACATTCAAAGCTTCTTTACAAAAAACTCTGAATCAATACTGTTTTTAAACAACAAAAAGTTATGAAATAACATTATAATGAAATTCAATCTATAGGTTTATATTTTTACCTCATAAAAAGGGTTTGGGGTTTGGGATCAATAATGGGTAATGGTAATAGGGGTAGAGCAATGGATTTGATAAAAGCAAAAATCAAGGTTAGGTGAAATCCTGGATTCTTCAGGATTCAATACCCTCAAAATCCAAAGTATGATACTCTATTCTCCACACAGTGCCAAAAAATCTAGTTCTCATACTCTAGTTACAGTTAGAAATGTGCAATCAAAAAAATAAACCTTTTTCTATTAGAAAATTCTCCTACACATTTTACCAAGAAAATTTACCTTAATCACACCATCCACACTTAAAGCTTATTTGGACTCCTATATTAGACCTATATGTTCCTTAAATTTAATGACCAACCAAGCAAATACAGCTAATACTTTTTTTCCCCATCCTGTCCTGTGGTTAAAAAGAAAAAAAGACTTTCTAAGACAAGGAAATTGTAGGGAAGACAAGCTTTGAAGTGAGGCAATAATTTGGGGTAACATTTTTTAAGGATCTCCTGGACTTGCCAGGAGTGTTCATTTCTTCCTCTAGTATCAGCCTTTGTTTCCCAGCATCACTACCAGTCCCACACCCACTGCCCACCTGAAAGTTTTCTATTTTATGTCCATAGGAAAACAAATATTTTTTTCACAGTTCAATGTCAGCAGATTCTAGACCCATTAACTTTTAAATCCCTAAGCACTATTCTACAAGGCTAAATCCTAGGAATGATTTTCATTACCCTAAAGATAAATAAAAGGTTCCCAAGGTTGCCAAATTACTTAGTTTTGCAGGCTATACTACTTTCCCTAACATGCTACTGAATTAATGAAAATTCTACTTTTAAAATATAAGCTAGAAGAGTAAATATTTTTAAAGAAAACAGAAAATGAAGCGGTCAATAGCTATAATATTTAGTAATTTTAACTTTTTTAAAGGGCTATTCGCCAGTAACTAGATCATGACCCTTTTGTGTTTGTTTTAAGTTAAAGGAATGGTTTTGAAGTTTCTAATGAAGACATGCCAGCAACGTATCATAGTAAAAATTTAATATTAAGATAAGTTTTACTAAACTTCACAAGTGCCTTGCACTTTCTATTTTTCAAAACAAATTAGAATCAAAATGCTTACTTTTACTTTTCCCCTCATGCTTTTAAATTAAAAAAAGAGAAAACCTTAGTCATCATATGCATCTTCTTTTCAAATTGATATATTCAACCCAAAGGTTAATGCAGATGATTTTAAAATTGTTTAGCTATATGACATTATGTTTCCTTCATATTATATATTGTTAATGGATTAAAAATTAATGCAAGCAGCACTGGAGGGTTTAAGTCTCTAAAGATTTCTAGGCTTTTAATATAATAGTTGAATAGCCTCAATTCATTTTGGCAATGTAAAAGTAGTATGATTTTTAAATTCTAGCCATAATGATGACAAAAATAGAAGAAAGCAAAGAAACAAACAAACAAAAATGTTGAGCACGAAGAATGAATTCCTCTAAATTATCACCAGTTCTATGCAATGACTCATGATCAGATGATGATCTATCATAGCACAAAATTCAGAAACTTTTAAAAAATATTAAACTAATTCTCACCCTCAGGACTAAGAAATAGAAACAATGTAAATTCTGTTTCTAGGACTCTTCACTGTGAGCACAAAGTATATTAGAAACCAGTGACTACACTTGCACTTTAAATGAGGTAAGTGGGTGGGATTATTAAACCTGACAATAGGAGATCTAATCTATATAATATGAAATATAAATATTAATTTTAATGTTAATTATCTTGCATTAATAGGTATAATTTGAAGCAAGAATAGCATGAGCTATAATGACCCGTCAATGACCTCTATAATCATAAACTATATGTTCCCAGAGATGGTAGAAAACTTCCTTGACCAAAGTAAGTTTTTTTCCAACAAAAGTAAAAAATTCAAAATCTAGCTTTACAATGGCAAATTATAAGTAAAATTATGTTAGTATTCTAAAATGCCTCTAGTTAAAATTAAAAGTTAAAAGCAAATTAAAAAATGAAAGTGCTTGGCCAAAAACAAATTAAAAGATAAAATAGTGTAAAAGCCTCTCTAAGAAATGTAACAAATACTTAAAGAATGAAGGAAAAAATCAGTATTTTACATATTTCTACATTCTTTAATAATTTATTTCTGAAGGTTTACCTAATTAAAGACATCAATTTTTATTGCCACTTAACTTTCTTTAAAATGAAATTTAGGTACTTGATTTATGAAAAGTTAATAATGCATTAATATTCCAGTTATACACTACCAAAGAAAAACTGAATAAGGCAACTTTCCCAAGGAATTCAATAACTGACACTTCTTGTATATACTTACACTTGAAAAACAATGAACAGTGAAGCTTTCACATACTTAAAATTCATATAGTGCCATCTGGTGGTTACCCTGACATACTAAGTTTTCCCTAAATTTAAAGATAAGTATCACTGTAAACAGATGATTAACGAAAGGTCAATTTTCTCATTTTAAGATTCATCTCTGGTGATCCCTTGGCCTTAAGTCCTCCTTCCTTCCTACTTAACTTTCAAATTTCTCTTATCATCTTGTAAATGGCACTACTGCTCTATTTCCCTGACACATGCTCTTCAGTTAAGTCTGAGACAGATCTTCACCTCTCTATTACAGTTATATTGTCTGTCTTTCAAGCTTTGTCCCTGGCTGTCATGTAAATGCCTACCACTCTTCATTAGATGATGACTTCCTGTTTTATCTTCTTTCAAAATAAAAACAGCTAATATTTAGAGATGAAGAAAAGCATTATGCTAAACATCTCATATGACCAAGCTAACTTCATAACAACCCTATAAGGTAGGCACTATTTTATTCTCATTTTATAGTGAAAAAAGTTTCTAAAGGTTCAGGGGCTTGTCAAAAAAACATAATGCAGGGCCCACCTTTTAAAATAATTATGCGGTATTGCTCCTTTCCAAATGTTGATCAAGAATTATAATTTAGTAAAAATATATTCACATGTAGAAGTCAGCTAACATTTTCAGATGTCAAAAATACATAAAGGCATTTTAAAAAATTTCCACCTAGTGAACAAACAGGAATCTGTGGATAATGTAAACCCTTTCTCAAAATACTAAATATGTTAAGGACTAAAAGACTCTTATAATCAAATACCAATACCTAAAGTTGAAAATGTTAGGAAAGAAATTTCAGTGGACTATAATCTGCTGAGCTGGTGATCAATAGTGAGGATTAACTTGATATACAGACAAGCACAACATTCAGGCAACTAACCCAATAGCCAGTGCAATTTTTTGCAATGAATTTTCCAAAGATTCTTTCTCAATCTACATCTTTGCATCTACTATTCCCTCAATTCTCTCCTCCTTTTTTCATTCCTAGAACATGCCTATTCAACCTTACTTTCCAGAGGAAACTTTTCCTGATATTTATCCTTCTCCTACCCCAAAATTCTTGAATCACATAGCACCTGGGACACATCCTTTAGAATAGCATTTAATATATTCATTAAAATGGACTTATGTCTGGGTTCCATAAAGTAAAACAACTTGAGGGTAATATTTAATTGATATTATGACTCTAGTACTTAGAACAGCACTTAACACTCATGGCTTTCTGATTCTTGAAAGTCCCAGTCTCCCTATTTACATAATATTCTAGGCATTAAGAATATTTACTTCGGGGCCTCCCTAGTGGTGCAAGGGCTTAAGCACCGCACTATGAAGCAATCCACAGCCTCTGCAGCACGAGTTCGATCCACAGCCGGCCAGGGAGCAACCCACATGGTGAGGCAGACCTCTCCTGTCTCGCCTGCTGCTCCCCTCAGCAGTGTACTTCGGTCAATCTGCCTGTTCTGCTCCCCACTTTGTCTCTGGTGAATCCTCTTACCCCCTCCCCTGCATCTCTGGCCTGTACCCCAGCTCTTGTATGCATAAATAAATAAATCTTTAAAAAAAAAAATTTACTGGGGCTCCCTGCTGGCGCAGGAGATTGAGCTACGCACTGTGGAGCTGTCCACAGCCTCTGTGGCTCAGGTTCAATCCCGGCCTTCCTGCGAGAATCCCACATGGCGAAGCAGACCTCTCCTGCCACGCCCGCTGCTCCCCTCAGCAGTGTATTTCAGTCAGTCTGCCTGTTCTGTTCCCCGCTGTCTCTGGTAAATCCTCTCACCCTCCCGCACATCTGGCCTTTACCCGGGTTCTTGTATAAATAAATTTTAAAAAAATTTACTTCTATTTTACATGAAAAATAGGAAAATAAAATTAAAATCAGAATAAAAATATGTAAATAAGTTAATAATGTGTAAGGTTCTTTTCCAAAGCATTATCACAGATCTCTGGGCTGGCATAACTTAAAGCATCAATGATTTAATTCTTTCTTTTATTGAAGTCTATCAGTGGACTCCTGATTTGAAATTTTCTTTTTTCATCTTTACATAATTATATTTCTCAGTCCTCTATCTGATCTCCTTATATCCAGGACAGGGTTGATTACAGGAGTTTTACTTACAATTCTAAGGTAGTTAATTAAACTGAGGAAAAGCCCCTTAACCGCTACAAAATAAGTAGCCTAGGCACAGAGACTCCATGGTTTTCCTTCCATGTATTCTACAGCACATAACATACAAATAAAATGATTTTCCAATGGAAACACAGAAGATGAGATGACAATAACACTGTAAATTATTATAAACGTTACTCAAGCTATATTGTGTATGTGTATGAATTTTATAATACTGAAAGTTAATGTAAATTACTGAGGAAAAGTAGGGCTTTTTTTTAATTAGGAAAAAGTCACCAACTTATATAAAACAGGCCTGTCCTGCAGGGCTTCCATTGACTGAGTCAATACTGGAGATATGTCACATGATTCTTGTGTCAATGTTCTGCATTCACCTGAAAAACAGTTAACATTGGAACTCTATGTTATATTAAAATTAGGTGTTTATTATGTCCACTGGATATCCAGAATCTAAATATTATAGAAAATACTACATGAAAGAAATGCCTAGAAAAACCAGACAGATGTATCAGTCAAAAACAAGTTCATATTGTCAACCAAAATAAAAATTAAAGATAACAAGTTTATAATACATAAACTTATACTATAGTTTACTCTCTGGCATACCCCAATCCTCTATTTTATTATTATAGAAAAAAACCAATTCTGGGCCTCCCTGGTGGTACAAGGGGTTAAGACACAACCTATGAAGGTACCCGCAGCATCTGCAGCACGAATTTGATCCCTGGCCAGGGAGCAGCCCATATGGCACAGCAGAGCTCTCCTGAGTTGCCTGCTGCTCCCCTCAGCAGTGTACTTCATTCGATCTGCCTGTTCTGTTCCCCACTCTGTCTCTGGTGGATCCTCTCTCCCCCTCACACCTCTGGCCTGGACCCTAGGTTCTTGTACGCATAAATAAAAAAATCTTTTTTAAAAAACTACAATTCTGAGGAAACCAATGAACAAATATTATTGAGTAACTGCCATACACATGGCAATGGTCAAGAAGCGAAGGGGCAGTGCTATAAATACATTGCCACTTCCTTCCTTTCAGAGCAATCTTTAAACAGTTCACTGAAAATGTTTATATGGATGACTAACAGGGTAATGAGATTTAATTTCGAAATAGTTCCTATTTTAAGCTTTTAAAAATCTCTACACCAACATTTTTATTTTAGCATTCTAATTTTATCCATAAAATGCTTACTAAGTTCCTATAGTGTTCAGAGAACTTTGTGCTTATTCAGAAATGCCCAGCCTTTTGATAAATGAGGACCTCATCCTAGCGGTTTATTTTCCAGCAGCGACTAAGAGAAACACACATGTATACGGAATTGTCGATATCTTAAGAAGATTCAAAAGTCCCAAGGAGTCAGAGGCCCACAGGTTGTATCACTAAGTTAGATGTCATAGGAGCATAGAAGAAATCTGAGATACTGTTCTTGCATTTGAGAAAGAAATCTAACTGAAGAGGTAAAATACATAAATATGAAAGTTAAGTAAATAACAGTAGTATTGAATACCATTTAAAAAATTCCAAAGGTTATGGGGAAAGTCATTGAGAATTAATGCAGTCTCAGAAAGTTCCAAGTAGATAGAGAACCTAAACTTAGCTTTGAAGACTGAAGTAGGATTAAGATATAAATATGAAAACCACACAGCACACCAAATAAGAGTAATATGTACAAATGAAAGATTGAAAAAGAAACAGGTTTTGGAGATAAAGAATAAATTACCTGGGACAATTAGGTTTCTAACAGTACAGTACAGGTGTTATTGGTAAATTGGATTTAATACTAATTCCTTCAAGTTGGTAACACCTATTAAAATATCATGTGCTCTTTTCCATCTGGTGGCAGCCATCAGGTAAGCCAAAATCAGTGCTTACAAATATATCCAGGAGTGGTGGAAGAAGCAGCAGTCCCATGTGATGTGCTTTCTTCTCAGGGTGCACTGTTGGCAGGACTGCCAGATGTCAGCGCTCCACAGGGCCTCTGCCCCACTCGGCTCAATATAGAGTACACACTGGTATGTAAGGTCAAGCAAGGCTGTTATATATTGGATATGTGTGTGCCATGGAGGCTGCAAATGTCCATTTCTTAAGGATGCAAACTGTGGCTGGCTTGTCCATCAAGATGCTAAAAGTTAATGTTGCTGAGGAGAGAGCTGGATGCCACTGTGGGGCTCTGAGAGTCCTAAATTCTAATTGAGTTGGTGAAGATTCATGTATAAATTCTGAGATTATCTGCATTAATCTAGCTCATAAAACTATCAGGAAAAAATTCTGACACCCAGGGGCTCACTAAACCAGTACATCGGCACAGGGATAATCGATAGCTGACATGTGCAGGCTGCAAGCACTGTGGTCATGGAAAGGGCCACAAGCTCTACCACATTATTGGTGATTCTTGCCATGCAGCTTAGAGAAGGTACGATAATCCCCGCTCCATCTTACTGCTGAAAAGTAATGTTTGTAACATTCTGACCTAATAAACAGTTTTGGACAGTCAAAAAAAAAATTATGTTCCTATTCAATTCTAGTTGTCTTATCTCCTCTGGTTTTAACAGGTAATTTTGTCAACAAACTATTGAAACAATTTAAAAATAAAACAAATAAACCAAAGATTCCTAACATCTGGAACCTGTTAATATATTACATGGCTGAAGAGAGTTTGCATATGGAATTAAGGTGACAGATCTTAAAATAGGGGGATTTTTCCCAGATTACCCAAGAGGGTCCAAAGTAATCAGTAGCTGGCATGTGAGTTAGACAGAGATGTGACATGAAACAAGATGCAAAACTCAAATGTGGACGTGATTAGATCCACAACTGCTGGATCTGAATATGGAGGAAGAAGCCATAAGCCAAAGAATGCAGGCAGTCTCTAGAAAATAGGAAAAGCCCTCAATGACAGCCATCAGTAAACTCAGACCTCACACAGTCCTGCAGACTCGAGGAACTAAATTATACCAACAAACTGAATGAGCAAGGAAAGAGATTACTCCTTATAATCTTTGGAAATAAATAGAGTCCTGCCAAGACTTTCAATGTGGTGAGAAATATGTCTGATTTCTACATTACAAAACCATAGAAATGTGTGTTACTTAGAGTCATTAAAAGTTTGTGATAATTTATTACAGCAACAAAAGAAAACTAATTCTTTATTTATAATATAATTATATACATAACCAGAGATGTATTCAATTTTAAGATAACTGAAGGCAAATGACTTTTTATTCCTATTAATCATGCATAGTGTTTAGCTGATGATCATGACACAAATATAAAGAAAATAGATTCAAATGTCAAGTTTACTTCTAAAAAACATACTTTTTGATTACTAAGATCAAAATACAGTATCAAATAAAGACCAAGTAAAATTAAAAAGTCAAACACAAATATTCATAAATCTGAACCACATGAAAGAAATCACTTACTTTGAGCCCATCGGTACAGCCTTTCATAAGCTGTTTCTTGAAGCAAAGCCATCTGTTCCATAATTTCTAAACTAAAAAATTTTAAAGATTCATTGTAATTTAAACTTTGAGCAATAGCTACAAATAAGTATTCTGTTTAATTACAGAAATATTTGGTTACATCATATTAACTTTTTATCATTTTATGTAGAAAACTTTCAATAATTTTTAATAAATGAATACTGTCAAATTTTTATACCATTATTTAGTTATCCAACTTCTGTTTTACTGTAAAGATATCAGGGTATTACACTCCCCTTATCCAAAGTAACTCCTATTTCACAAAATGTCATATAGTTTCAAAAAGAACTAGAATGTCTTAAAAATTTCAGAACTATAGGGGGCAATGCAATTATGAATTGAAAAGGTTACTCACCCTGCTGTTTGTTGGTTTGTACGTAAAAGAACTTTGACATCATTGTGAATTTGTTTTACTCTTCCCAATGCCTTGAAAAAATCCTTTAAAATTAAAAATGTGACTTTAAAATGTTTGTTTTCAGGTAAAATCATATTATACTAAGTTGAAATATTATTAAAAGGAAAACCAGATTCACCTATTTTAATGAATCCTTCCCACACTGATCTTAATTTTATTTATAGTAAGTAGATATTTTTTCACATTTTAAAACATAACATTCATTCAGTGTCTACTTTATGCCAAACAATGTGCTAACTGCCAAAGATACAAAACTTAGGCAAAAATCCCTGTCAGGCCTCCCCTGGTGGCGCAGGCGGTTGAGCGCCACACTGTGAAGCTGTTCGCAGCCTCTGCAGCACTGGTTCAATCCCAGTCGGCCAGCCGGCTGAGAGTCCCACACAGCACAGCAGACCTCTCCTGTCGCACCCGCTGCTCCCCTCAGCAGTGTCTTTCATCACTCTGCCTGTTCTGTTCCCCATTCTGTCTCTGGTGAATCCTCTCATCTTCCCATGAATCTGGCCTGTACCCTGGTTCTTGTGTAAATAAATAAATAAAATAAATTAAAAAAAAAAAAAAATCCCTGTCCTCAAGATGTATACAGGCTAGTGAGAGAGAAATGCAAACCTAAAGACTAGTACATTAAAAAAAAAAAAAAAAAAAATCGCTGTGTACTACATATGTTATGACTTATTTAAGAAGGGCTTCCTTATCACTAAGGATGTTTTACATATCTTTTACACATCCCTTCTTGCCCCCACATACTAGAATACATCAAAGTTGAACACATAAAAGATGCTCATTTAATATACAGAAGTTAATTTATGCTGAAATCCAGGATCTTTTACTCCTTTAGAAAAACATATCAGAGCCTTAGTTTCCAGATAACAACAATTTGTGTTCTAGCCATGAAATAATAGATGTGTTATTTTTCTTTCATGAATAAAAATTTTAAAAATCCATCTCCTCCAATATTATCTACCAAGTAGAGAAGAGGTAAGATGTCAAATAAAATGTGACAAGTTCCTCAAACTACGAAGGACAGTCCTAGTGAGTCTTAGTAATAAGTTCAACTACTTAACTCCCTATACCCTGGTGACTGGTTTCAGTCCAACCTAGACAATGAGATGAACAAATATGGGCACCTGAGGTATGAGCCACTCAGTGAGACCCTCTCTCAGCAAGAACTCATCCTGCTCTCAGATCCTAGCATGATGACAATGGGCTTAGGCTCATACAGCCTCTGATTTGGGAGCCTAAAAGGCTCCTTCCTGGAAAAACAGTGTCTACAAGGAGGGAAAAAGGAACAAAGCTTTTCTCTGTTGTTCAGCATTTCAAGAGGTTTTATAGTTTTAAGTCAAGTTGACTTAGGTGGCATAGGATACAAAATTAATTAGATGAAAGGACAAGGGATTATCAAGTTGAGGAAAGACAAAGTTGTAAAAGAAAGAATGTAGATATAATCACTTCGTCATATAGCAAAACCAGAAAATGTCACCCAACTGTGAGTTTATTAAAAAAAGAGAATATATAAATAGGAGGCTGCAGCATGAGCAGAAGAGCCAAAATCCTCTTATTTTTTGATAGAAAATAACAGATTATCAAAGTATATTCTTTTAAATTACAGCTCTAGAATGCAAAATTTACAAAAGAAACAATTAACAATGGCTGACAAAAGATTTAGAGATCAGGAGGAACAAAAAGAGGAGAGTTAGGTTTTCCTTATAACCCTATATGCTTTGATTTCTAAAAAAATACACGTATTGCTTTGAAAAACCTAAAAATTTAAATGAATTAAGGTAATTTAAAATATGCATCTTTGCACACTATACATCTGTTATGGGACTGATAGCAAAGATTCACACAAGAACTCACACAACTCAACATAAACTAAGCAAACAACCCAATCAAAAATGGGCAGAAGAGTGAAATACACACTTCTCCAAAGAAGAAAGGGCCAACAGGCATGCTTATTGCCAAGGAAATGCAAATCAAAACAACAATAAACTACCATCTCACACCTGTGAGAATGAACCATATTAAAAATAAGCAGAAACAAGAAGTTCTGTTAAGGGTATAGAGAAAAAGGAACCTTCTTACACCGTTGGTTGGAATGTAGACAAGTACAATCAGTATGAAAAGCTGTATGGAGGGTCCTCAAAACACAAAAAAAGAATCTGTCATGTGACCCAGCTATTCCATACCTTGGAATCTACCCAAAGAACACATAAACACTAATTTGAAGGAAACTTGCACTCCTGTGTTTATTGCAGCACTCTTGTTTATAGCAGCACTATTTACAATAGCCAAGATATGTATAGAAACAACATAAATTCCCCAAAACAGATGAATGGATCAAGCTGTGGTGTGTATATACACACATACTACTCAGTGATGAAAAAAGATAAACTTTGCAGCAACATGGATGGGGCTGGAAGGGATTATGCTAAGTGAAGTAAGTCAGAAGGAAAAAGACAAATATCAGATGGTATCACTAATATGTGGAATATAGAGAAAACAAACAAAGGGTCAGACAAAGACAAACCTTTAAAGTTGCCCATAGATCTGAGGCATCCAGGAAGGGAGTGGGAGAGATGAGAACAAGGTAGGGGGGAAAAGCATAGGGATTATGATGGAGGATTATGGGTGCTTTGCTGGAGAGAACTATGATGACCACACCTGAGAGGAGAAATCATATACTGTCAAAAATTAACAATGTAAGAAAAAGGTACTTCATTTAAAAACAAATTACTTTAAATTAAAAAAAAAATGCATCTTGAGTTTCAAATTTAACAATATTTTCAAATCAAATTTTGACATGACTCCAAATGGAAAATGATTATAAAAAGAAAGTAAGATACCTCAGTAATAGGTCCTTCTCTAGTACCTCGGAGAAGACTCATTTCATCAGAAGTTAGCTGGAACTTAGATAAGAAGGCATCTGCAACTTGTGCTCTGATTTCTAACCTTTGACTACAATGAGAAAAAAAGCAATAAAAATCACGCGCTCAGTTTTAAAACAAATTATACCTCTGACATACTAACTTTCAAAACAAAGGTGTGAAAAATTCTCAACATCTTCGAAAATCTCATTTCCACCTGAAATATTAGAAACTCATCAGACATGTAGGTGATAAAATTATCTGATATTTCTCTAACTCCAATACTTGCACTCAGCAAAAGAAATTAATCATTATGCAAAAGAAGAGATAAGTTCAAAAAGGGTTCCTGCATTATAAATTCGCAGCCACATATATGTACTTTAATAGTTCACCTTAAAGTAACAGTTATCTTATAAAAGAGAAATAAGCCTATTTTCAACTAACTACTTCTCCATTTTTGTCTCCTCTACTTTTTCTGCATATTGTGGTCACTAAAAAAGAGTCCTCAAAATATATTGTATGAATGCAGCCTATCTGACTAGTTGACAGCTAGGAAAGGGCACAGTGGTCTAGAATGCATGCTGCAAGGAACACTAAGCAGGATCACCATCTCAAGACCACATTAGGAACTAAGCAGAAATTCAACATTCCTCACTTCTAGATCTTAGATTTAAAGCTATACAAATAAGGGCCTCCCCAGTGGTGCAGCGATTGAGCGCTGGGTTGCGAAGCTGCCAGCAGCCTCTGCAGCTCCGGTTCTATCCCCAGCTGCTCCCCGGCCACCGCAGGAGGGTCCCACATGGCGCGCAGACCTCTCCTACCGCCTGCTGCTCCCCTCAGCAGTGTGCTTCGGTCCTTCTGCCTGCTCTGCTCCCCACTCTGGCTCTGGTGAATTCTCTCACCCTCCCGTGCTTCTGACTGTACCCAGTGCTTGTATAAATAAATAAATAAATCTTAAAAAAAAATTTCTTAGCCATTTAAAAAAAAAATAAAGCTATACAAATAAAATTTTAAGTGTTTTCACTTAGTAGATTTAAGAGGATAGTAATATTCTACAATCTAACAATATTCAAATGAAAGTAAGCAAAGATAAACATTAACACTATTTGTATAGACAACACAATGTGCCTGTCTCTTGTTTGTGTAAGAGGTATGCGAGCTTTAAATTCACAAAGTCAAATGCTCCTGGTGAAAAATATGGAAAATTAGAAACAAAAAGTCCTCCAGGTGGCAGTAAGGTTCTGATTCTCTCAAATGATAATGTATAGCACTTAATCAAAAATGGCAAATATCTTTAATCATCTTATTACTGATACAAAAGTTACCTTAATAGGCTGTTTGTATACTCTGAGATAAAGCTCCAACTGTTATATAGGATTTAAAATCATTATGAACTTCATTAAACTCGTTAATACAAATTGGGCCTCCCTTGGTGGCGCTGCGGTTGCGCACTAGGCTATGAAGCTACCCGCAGCCTCTGCAGCACGGGTTCAATCCCCAGCCGCTAGCAAGGGTCCCACATGGTGTGCAGACCTCTCCTGCCATGCCCGCTGCTCCCCTCAGCAGTGTATTTCACCAGTCTGCCTGTTTTATTCCCCACTCTGGCTCTGGTAAATTCTCACACCCTCCCGCGCTTCTGACTGTACCCAGTGCTTCTATCAATGAATAAATAAATCTTTTTTTTTTTTTAAAAAAAAGACAATACAAATTAATCATTTCAACTAACGTATTTTTGGAGCTTATTTTTGATCTATCTTTAAAATTAATATATTAGGCGCAAATAAAATTAGTCTCTTCAGTTAACAGTTTCATTTTGTTTTAACCAAATATATAATAGTATTACTTATCTTTGTCATACCCCTTAGTCTTTAAGTCATTCGAAATAACATGGTTGACTATCTAAATATAAATCCATGAAATTAAGACTTCAAAGCACAAAGTCTATATTAAAAAAAGATTTAGCCCAAAAATATTTGTTCAACAATGGGCACACTGCTTAAACAAAAGGTTTGCTAACTCAAGATGACAACTCTTAGTGATGAAATAAATTCTAGTCTTTTTTAAATCATATTACTTTTTAAAATATACATTTTTTCCAAGAAAATTATCACAACCAGTCTGTCAGAAAGCTAGATGTGTCATAGAATGACATTAACAAAGACCTACAATAACAAGTCCCAAGTCAGAGCCGGCTATGACAAAAGGCATATCTGATGCAGATCTTGCTCTCACCTGACAGCACAATTGAAATATGGTATCTTTTAGTGGGTTTTTTTTTTTTTTTTTTTTTTTTATAGAGGCATGCTTTATTTATTTGTTTGCTGGTTTGTTTGTTTGTTTTGTTTATACATGCACTGGGTACAGTCAGAAGCGCGGGAGGGTGAGAGAATTCACCAGAGCCAGAGCGGGGAGCAGAGCAGGCAGAAGGACCGAAGTACACTGCTGAGGGGAGCAGCGGGCGGCAGGAGAGGTCTGCACGCCATGTGGGACCCTCCTCTGGTGGCCGGGGAGCAGCCGGGGATCGAACCGGCGCCGCAGAGGCCGCGGGCAGCTTCGCAACCCAGCGCTCAACCGCTGCGCCACCGGGGAGGCCCTCTTTTAGTGGGTTTTTAACCTAAATAAAAATTACTTAAAATAAATATTAACAAACCATAAATGGTTATTATAAATTATAACTTCTAGAGAATCTGAGATGTGCTCATAACTGCTTATTATTTGTTATATAAATATATAAATAAACATAGCAGATACACAGCATAATTAGAGCAGGTAAGGAATATGAGGTTGATTACATAGCACACACATAGTCTATCTATATATGTATACTAGCGAAACGCTCTATAAGATATAGGTACAAAAAACAAGTTGCAGAAAAAAATGTACGATAACTCCCATCTTTTAGAAAACACTACATACACACATAGTTGAATTTTCAGGTTGACAAGGACACACTAAAACAGACATTCTCATATATTATTGATGGAAATGTAAACTAGTATATAACCTTTTGGAGAGAAATCTAGTCAGTATATGTTAGATTATTTTTTAACATTTCTACAATTTTATTCATTAATTACTAAAACTTTTTTCCTATAGAAATAGTATGAAATACCCATAATGATCTAAAAAACATTTATCAAATCATAATTTTTAATAATGAAAATATAAATATGCATAATTTAAGAATGTTTAAACATGGATTAATTCACAAGAAAAAATATAATGCAACTATTAAAAAACATCATTTTCCAAATAAAGACAGGAAAACACACATAAAACATTAAGAAAAAAATAACTGTTCATACTCTAAGAAGAAATACACCAAAATGTTAACAGAAACTGCCTGGTGGTGAAGTTATGTCTGATTTTTTCTTATTTAAAGGCTGAACTCATAAATGAGAAAGGAAGGAAAAATAAAGGAGATGTGATACTCTCCTGTCTTCTCCTAACCTTTTATTAGGCAAAGAAAACATATCACATACACTTCTGAGACATTTTTACATGTATCTGTAAAAAATCTGTTTTTGTGTTACCAACTTCAAAATCTAAATTAACGTAGTTTAAGACAAATAACAAAATTAAAATGAAAACTTAAAAATAGTAAGAAATAAAGAAGTAGATAAAATTAATATAGCTGAGGAAAGCTATTACAGTTAATAACACAAAATAGCCTAAGCTTTCTAGTCACCAAAATGAGATGTTCTTTGTCTAATAAAAGAAGAGGAGGATGGGGTGGTAAAATTTCTTTATGTCAAGCATTGTGAATGTTCTGCACCTTATGTAAATCACTGAATCCTTACAACAAACCTGTGATACAGATCTAATTCCCTTTTTTTTCAGATGTGGAAATTTAGCCTGGGGAGGTTAAAAAAATAACATGTGCAAAATCAAAAATCCAATGCAATCTTACACAAGATTTAGATAACAATTAGGGGTTTGGTCTTCTAAGTCTATATCCATAAAGCTTTAACATTCAAAACTTCAAAAAGAAATATAAACAGTCACCAGAAACTATTTCTCCAAGTTCAGATAGAAATTTGATTTGTGGGCTTTTATAAGAGAATAAAATATATCATCGATAGTGACTTCTGTAATTATGTGTGATAGGCGCTCCAATGACAACAAGAAAATCTCAGGCCTGGCTTGAGAAATAGAAAAGGGTGAAGGGGAAGTAGATGAGAAATGACAGCCTAGAACTAAAAATATGGAAGTATATTCATGTCAATAGAGCATTTCCTGATCATTAATGAAACCCATCTTCTATCAGTTAAACATCAGAGGAAATGCTAAGCTGCAGTTATGTGAAGACAATTCTATATTGAGCTTTTCCTATTATAGCTCTCAAAATGACTGCCCTCTTCTAACCCAGCTGGAAAAATATTCAAGTTATCAATCCAATTGTCTGAATAAGTATATTATGTTATCCAAACAAGCGCAGAACACTTCTACCTCTAAAGCTAATTGCTTATTTAACAGTTTCTTGTTAAAAAAAAAAGGTAATATTTCAAAATGGAAAACAACTCTCTGCCATCTCCCAGTCTGTCATCATAATTTCTGCTATGTAATTTTCTAAAAATACCTTCACACAAATGTTCATTTGGCACATCGCATCTATAGCTCTTCAGATACTAGAATGTCAGAAGTTTTCACTTCCTGAAAGCATACCAGGCCAAAACACTTTCATATGTTTACTAAAATAATGAACATAAACAACCTTGCTTAAATTGTTTTGAGAATACATGAATTGAAACACAATGTTCTGAAACTACCTCCTGTAGACATTAATCAGGGACCCACATACAAGCCCCAACTCAATGCTTATTTTTCAGCTTTTATTTATGTTCCATTCCTGACATTATGATAGCAGCATTCCATATAATTCATTTAAAAGCACTTATTAAAATATTGAAACTACACTGTGTTATGCACTTCCTAAAAATCAGAAAACATTCACATTTTCTGAAGAATAATTTTGAATTTCACAGGAAAATTATAAGAAACACTTCAAAACTTCCAAAGAGTGGATTAATCTCTCAACACCTATTTCTCAACTCCTGAACTATTGTTTTAAGTTTATTTTACTCTTGGATGATAGCTTAGAATCTTATATGTTGTACAAATTTAGAATCATGCTTTTTTACTATTTTGTTTTACCCTAGATTGTGAGTTATCTATAATTTTCTTTACATTCTTTATTTTTAATTCCCTAATTAATAAAGAGATGACTATATAAGAAAAACTTACCTTTCAGCTTGAAGTTTAGTGGTTTTTACTATCAAATCTTGAGTCTGTTCCTTTGCAGCCTGAAATTATAAACATATATAATATTAGTGCATTTTATTTATTTTCAGAACACTAATACTATCACTTACTAGAGTTCACCCTTATAGCAAATGAGATGACATTCTGACACTCATCAGTTTAACAGAGGTCTAAGTATTGAAATAGATGTTTCAAAGCTCATACGCTATCTTTAGTAACAGAAACTCAGGATTCTCAAACACACATAATGCTAATGATTACAATAAAGAAAACATTATCAGGTACTGACAAGAGAATTTAAAATAATCCATGATGCTTTTTAGTGAAACAGAATCATTGGAAAGAGCAATTAAGGCTGACTTCAGTTATAGACAAGTTGAGTTATCATGAGACCTCTAACAGAGCTATAAGTTAAGTCACTGAAAGGCTGGTGTGAAACTCAATAGAAATATCCAGATGGAGGCAAACACTGAAAGTTGTAACATAAGGTTTTGGTGTAGAGTAGAGATAGCCCCATCCCAAAGACAAAAGGCTGTTCCTGACCAAGTTTCATACTAAGCAATCCTCACTTTCCCAAGTCAGAGCTGAAAGTACTAGGGGCAAAAATCTGACAAATAGGTATTCCATCCAAAGACAAGACTAGGCAAGTATTTATAAAGTGGATTGAAACAAGACTAATGTAGTCAATCAAATTCTCTCCCAAAGACCTGAACTGAGAAATACTACAAAAAGAAGGCAATTATGAAATAATTATGAAACAACAATGGTGCTACACTTTTCATAGCACTGAATGGAGAAAAAGCAATTGTGAGGCATGTAGAGACAAAGGGTTCATGACTTGAAGGGACATTAACTGAGCCTGGATTGGGTAGAAATAAGGCCACTAATAAGCAGAAATTATACAGTAAACAAAAACACAAAGTGGAGAGTCAGTCTGGTAGTGAGAGGATACAAGGACAAACACATGAAGATAAGGGTGAATGTCACACTGGAATACAATAAAGAGCCTCTAGATTCTTAAAGGTCCAGTCCTCTTACACATTCTAGATTGTCAATTGAACTTTTCTGTTTTATTGATTCACAAGCATCTCACAGATAGCAGAGCTTCGTTCCCATTTCAAGTGAAGGTATTTTGAGTCTGTGTTACTTGCAACTAAATTATGTGACTAGCAAATAGTAGATATATAAGAAAACAGGTTTGAACCAAGTAATTCAGATCACTAACCTTTATGAAAGGGAGCTCTTTATGATTAGCTCCCACAGTACTTTCTAAAATTATTATTCTTTAAATCCAGTTCTTCTTCAAAAGCTTAACTTTCCTAATGTCATTTTGCTGTTTTTTTTAACTTTTTTTAAAGATTTATTTTATTTTTATTTATTTATTTATGCATACAAGAACTGGGGTGTGGGCCAGAGGTGCGGGGGGTGAGAAGATTCACCAGAGACAGAGTGGGGAGCAGAGTGGGGAGCAGAACAGGCAACGGGTAAGACAGGAGAGGTCTGCTAGTCAGCTCCCAGGCCAGCGATCTAACTTGTGCTGCAGTGGCTGCTGAAAGCTTGATAGTGCTGAGACTTAACCCCTTGTGCCACCAGGGAGGCGTATCATTTTGTTTCAAAGCTCTACTTCCAACCTTATTCTTCCCTTGCAAAATTTTTACAAATATTTTTCCTCAATTTTAAAATAGAAGAATTCCATTTCAATATTTGTGAAAAATGTTTCCCCAAATCAACATAAAAAATTCTTAGTAGAATTTTTGCCAAAATCATTATTAAACTGAGGGTATACGTTAAAACAACTATACCTATTAATCAATGAAATACTTTAGAACAATGGTATGCAATAATTTTTATATCCATATTTTACCCATTTTCTGACTCTTCACTTATAAGTCATGGTAATGATTTCAAAATAAGATTTAAAAACATAAGTAAAGATTATTATCCTAAAACAAGTTCCAGTCAATTTATCTTAAATGTTAAGGGTGGTTATTTTTCATTAAATGTCTCTAAATGTAATTTAATCAACTAAAACCACAGCCAAAGTGAGAAACCACAACACACACAAAGTTATTGATTACATTTTTAAAAGTTCTCATAATAATTTCTAAAATATGCCCAATCCAAAGAATTTTAAGAAATGTTAGCTAAACTTGTCCTCATAATATCTTATAATGAAAAAAGGTATGGTGGAGCATACCACTCTAAGAAATACCTTTCTTCATGATTGAATAAATTGAAAACATTATTTAGAATTACAGCATGAGTGGGTACTATTAAGATTCCAATAACATTATATGCAAATAAATTAGTGCCAGGAGACAAAATTTTCATAATCATAGATCTAATCCTAACTGATTAAAGGATCAAAAAATGAACATAAACAATAGGGAGTATAAATTAATTTAAAATAATCATTTAAAAAGCTATGAGGGAATTCTTTGCAAGGGATCAAAATGTTCTATTGATATTATCTTAATTATGGTGGTTATTTTACAGTCACAGGTGTATAAAACTGTCAAAATGCATCAATTTATATATTCAAATGGATGCAGTTTATTATTGTGCGTAAGTTATTCCTCAATAAATATGAAAAACGGCCCATGACAATACAGGAAAAAATGCAATCAGGGAGGAAGGCGTTATCAAGAAAATATAAATGACAAAATGAAACATAATGTTGTGATTTAAAATACTTATAAATGGGCCTCCCTGATGGCGCAAGGGATTAAGCACCGCACTATGAAGTTATCCACAGCCACTGCAGCATGAGTTCGATCCCTGGCGAGGGAGCTACCCACATGGCACAGCAGACCTCTCCTGTCTCCACCGCTGCTCCCCTCAGCAGTGTATTTCAATCAGTCTGCCTGTTCTGTTCCCCACTCTATCTCTGATGAATCCTCTCACCACCCACACCTCTGGCCTGTACCCCAATTCTTCTATGCATAAATAAATCTTTAAAAAATAAATAAATAAAATATGTATAAACTGTTAGCATGAATAAAAGTATTTTGATTTTTTTACACTTAAAGATAAAATGAATAGAAATATAATTATTAAGAGTTAGAAAATAAGAGGTACTAATAAAAACAGAGGTTACCTAAGTAATCCAATATATGCACAAAATATGTAAAATTAATATTACAAAATAAATGTGTATAATATAGAAAATCTAATAGTGTGTAGTTTGTGAAAAGACTATTATTAAGTCAAGGAAACTAAAAGACGAGAAAAGGAAGCAAAGAAAAAGTTAAAGAATTGTCAATCACTAAGTAACAAAAGTAATATATATAAAAAACTGTAAAATGGCAGTAACACTTAGCAAAAATTATATGATTTAGTATTATAAAATTAACAGGGTATAAAGATTGTCAAATAAATATGCCAATAATGTTTGATCTATTAGTAAGAATACAAAAATTTAGATAAGACTTGAAAACCTAAAGTTCTGGAGAAACATAATTGACTGCTTCTACAGAGAAATCAGCTAGTAGCCAACGGTTAAAATGAGGAATGTGCGTGCTTAATAATTCTCTGTAGAATTACTGTAGCTGTCTGGGCCTCCCTGGTGGCTCAAAGGGTTAAGTACAGCACTATGAAGCAATCCGCAGCCTCTGCAGCATGAGTTAGATCCCCATCTGGCCAGGGAGCACCCCACATGGTGCAGCAAACCTCTCTTGTCTTGCCCGCTGCTCCCCTCAGCAGTGTATTTCAGTCAGTCTGCCTGTTCTGTTCCCCACTCTGTCTCTGGTGAATCTTCTCAACCCCCCACACCTCTGGCCTGTACCTCAGCTCTTGTATGCATAAATAAATAAATCTTCAAAAAAAAAAGAATTACTGTAGCTATCAAGAGTTTCAGGAGAATCTTAGAGGTACAGTGTGAAATAAAAATGTGAAGGTAGTAGACATAGCTAATTCTTAGGAAGAAATTATTCGATTCATTATTCCAAAATTACATGAAAGAGGGTAATTAGGTGAAATTAATTCTGTGGCCAAACTAGAGGTTCAGTACTCCTTTGTTGAGTATGAATTGTAACCAAGTTGGGTCTTTATCAGGCATAGCTTTAGTTTCAACTTATTCCTAAGGTTTTCCACTATTTCAGCTGTATTAATGGGGTATCAGAGAATTGAAAGGTTTATAAAAATTCTACACAGTTAGCTCTGGACTGGCTAAATCAAAATAGAAAGGCTCTGGAGTTAACCAAGCAATATTATTAAAATATCATCAAAAGAAACAAAAAGACACTTTAAGTTAAAAAAAAAATCAGGGCCTCCCCGGTGGCGCAGCGGTTGAGCGCTGGGTTGCGAAGCTGCCCGCGGCCTCTGTGGCGCCGGTTCGATCCCCGGCTGCTCCCCAGCCACCGGAGGAGGGTCCCACATGGCGCGCAGACCTCTCCTGCCGCCCGCTGCTCCCCTCAGCAGTGTACTTCGGTCCTTCTGCCTGCTCTGCAACCTGCTCTGGCTCTGGTGAATTCTCTCACCCTGCTGCGCTTCTGACTGTACCCAGTGCATGTATAAACAAAACAAACAAACAAACAAACAAATAAATAAATAAATAACATGCCTCTAAAAAAAAAAAATCAGCCTATTTATATTCAAGCTTCCTACAGGGCATGATATATTAGCTAACTATACATTTTATAGAATTACCTAACAATTTTTGAAGGCTTACATTATTGCCGGGGACCAGCCTCCGGCAAAATGTCGTGTCAGGGGTTCCTGAAAGGATGAGACGGCCTCGGCGACCTGTAAGGGGCTGAAACTTAAGGGCTTGAGGGGAAGGGAATGAGGAGACACCGACACTTGTTGAGGTGCTAGTATCTTCTCCCGAGAGGCTCAGCAGGTTCTTTATTTATACATTTTTTTGCAAGCATTGAGATTACATTATCAAGTGCATAGAAACAAAGCAGAAACAATTAGTGCATCTCTTTTTCTATGGGCTTTTGGCTACTACGTGCTTTCAGTAAGAAGGCAACCTTCAAGGTTAATAAAAAACTAAGCCTTACACTAGAACTCATTGTTTCAGCTAAATAATAACCTAAGACAGTTGATAGCCACCAGCACATCCCTATCAGCTAAAGCCCAAGCAAGAAAAGACTCCTCTTATTTGCATGGCCTTCAGCTGGGGACCAGCTGCTACTCAGCTATCAGAACTTTTTCTACCTAGAAACTCCTTAACTCAAATAGCTTCATTTAAAAACTTTCCCAAGAAACTTCAAGGGAAGGCAATAAAAAGGACTTACAATAATAGTTGTATTGTAATGCTTGTCAGGCATGTTCAACAAACCATCTCCCATTGTCAAGTGAGCCAAACAGCCCAACAACTAATTTCTAAACAGATAATTTTCTGTGCCATTTACTTACAGTATGCTGATACATATAATTTATTGCCTAATATACTTTCTGATAAATTTTTCTCTCTCTATGACCAAGAACAAAAAGCAAAGGGATGCCAGATCTTCAGCCCCACGGTGTGAGGCCTTTTCTCTTAGCTGCTTGTCAGTAACCTATCTGGCTGGAGCAACAAGGCCTCCTGCAGCACATTATGTTAACACCCAGCCATCATACAGTACCTGTAGGCGATTTGTCATATCCTGACAACAACTGCTCATTGCTTGAACATCCTCATTTATGCTTTCAAGTTCCTGAAAAAGAGAACAATAAATTGAGTATTATATATTGTTAAAGAGATTTCTCTTTTCTTAACTGAATCCTTATTTTTATCCCATAAAAATTTTTGCCAAAGCATGACAAAGATCTGACAAGGCTGGAACTGAAATGAGTAACATATAATACTAGAAAATATGTTAAAAAAAAAAAAAAACACCCAGTGTATTCTGTTTTAGAGTATATGACAATAGGAAAACAGCTTTTAAAATATGAATAATCTTTATCCAAGGATTCTAATATGAAGAATTCATCCTAAGGAACTAATCCATGGAAATCTACGGATATACTAAGGACATGTGTATGTGTATTTATGTGTATGTGTGTTTACTGGCATGGGAAGATATTACATAAGGTTTAAAAAAGTGTTATGACCATACAAGTAATATCTTTCCATTTTTTAGGGAAAAAAAATGTGTGCACTCATGCATACCTGCACACAGAACATAAAGAAGGCCAGACAATAAAATAGTGACAATTCTGGGTGACAGAATCACAATAATTCTATTTCTGATTTTATTCTTTAAAGTTTTTATAATGAATTATCTGTAACTTTTAATGAATAAAACCAAATTTGATAGCCCAATAGACAATAATGCCTCCTACAATCTTGTGATCTACATATTAGAACATGTCAAAAATGGTAATTTTCTCAGTAATGTTCTCCCCCTCTCATCTCTAGTCACCCCCACCACATACCCCTATATTTAATTAATGGATACATCTTATCTATTTCACTTTTACTACCCAAGCAGCTACTACATGTTTTAGTTAGGTTAACTGTTAGTTCTGTGAGTATTCTGACAGGTCTCTCTGACTCTACATTCTTTATCAAACTTATATCCTCTGGCTTTTACTGAACCAATCTTTTACTATGAAAAAAATGTCAAAATATCACATTTAGTTTCATACTGTACTATCATCTCCCTTTTCCCAATTCAGGGTTACACAACAAAAAAAAACATGATGTAACAAAGTTTTAAGCGTGGACAGGGCTAACTGTAGTCTCTTTCAACATAAAACCTAGACTTTCAAATAGAAACATGACAATTTTATGAAGGGGTGGGCCAATCAGAGGGCAAGAAATTAATAAGAAAAAAACAGCAGAGCAGTACTATACACAAAATGTGAGGATTAAGCAGTCAGAAAATCACATAACAATTACCAGCATTAATCTTAGCTCTAGAATTAAGGTATTTTCCCTTCTCTCTGTAAGTACTTTGATTTATGAAAACAATAGCACCAGATATTTTCCCTACATTTTACTAAAAGGGAATATAAATCAAATCAATAAACTAAATACTAAAGTGCCTTTAGGTAAATATTATAATAAGCTCGTTTTCAAAATATCAATTAATATCAACAATAGCAAATACACAAGCAACCTAATCTCATCATTCCCTTAAATCTCAGTATAATCTAATTAGAACAGCACTATGACATAATCTGCCAGCAAAGACAAGAATAATTTCTCCTAATATTTACACAAGCCACCATAATATACTGAACTTTATTTGTGAAATAATAAAAATTACATTTCTTATGATATATGCTCAATGGTAATTCAAGGTCCTTTCTATAGCTTGTAAAGTGATTATTTGAACATAGAGTAAACTATTTTCCCAAATTAAGTAAAATTATAGGCTGTGAAATATAAGTGGAACATGATAAACTTTTTAAAAAATTTATTATAGAAAATTTTCAAAATATATCCAAAAGTTGATTTACTATCAATGTCTGCCTACATAATACTCAACTTCAACAGTTATGAACTCATGATCACTCTTTCTTTTAATTTTAAATATCTAGTTGGTGTTGAACTATTCTTTTTTTTTTTTCCTTTAATAATTTGCTCGAGTTGGGAACCAAGTTAAGATTCACAAATAGAAACTGGTTGGTATTTTTCTTATTTTTTGATCTATAGATATTCACATATGCCTATTTCTCTTTATCTTTACAGTTAAGTTACTTTACATTTCCCAATATTTAGATATAGCTGACTGCATCTTTATGACTGCAGTTAATAAGACTCAATTTATATTTACTATAAATGGCAGTTAGATCTAGAAGTTTAATTATATTTATTCAATTTTCTGGCAAAAATTCTTCATATGTGGTGTTGTATACCTGTATTATGAATCACAAAAATGGCTGTTTCTCTTTTTGTGAGATAAGGAGCTACTGATGACAGATGACAGATGACTAAATTAGTGGTGTTCAATCAGACCAATTTTGCCCCCAAAGGGGTTGTTTGGCAATGTCTGGAGATCTTTTTGGTTGGAACAACTGGGGGAAAGGTGGTGTTACTGGTGTCTAATGGACAGAGGGCTAAAATGATGCTGACCATCCTGTATGGCAGACAACCCTCAACAATTATCTGACCATAAATGACAACCGTACCAAGGTTGAGAAACTCTGAGCTAATACATAAATTCGACAGAGATTATAAAATATACTATCTTCTCTCCTTCATTTATTAGGTAGACTATTTCCATTAAGAGGTTAGTATTAACATATGTAGTAGGTACAAAAAATAAATAAATGCTCAACTCTTTCCTTTTGTTCAGTTTTCAAAATAAATTGGTTCCTTTATATCCATCAATGAGTTGGATATAACCTTATAACCAATGAAGTTACTTTTTGGTTTTCAGTATAATTAAATTCATGGACTTAAACATGTTAAGGAGTTTTAGTCATTAAAGTTACTCTTATCGATGCTCAAATCATCCTGTTTTTTGCCCAGTGGAAGCCCTTGCAAGTTAATTCCAGAGTCCTTTTGATACTTTCCCAACAGTCTTGTGTGTGTATGTAGCTTGCTTTTTAATACTGACAAGACTGTTCCTTTCAGTGGGAAATTGTGTTGAAAGAACCCAATATGGATGAGCTCATTATCGTTGTCTCTTTCGATTTTTGTGAAAACCACCAAAATTCCCTTCAACCTTCCAATTACTAGCCTTCAGCCAATGAAATCCTACTCAGTCATTCAAAATAATGCTTTATTAAGTACTCACTGAAACCATATACAACACTTTCATACAGCTTACACAGAAATACTATGTAACATAATTATTTAAAGCAAATTAGCAAAATATTATATAATTAAATATAACACAATAAATTTCACTTTTATCCTATGGTGAATAGATTTCTTTACTCAAATATAATGAATCACTATTTATGCATTGAAGTAATTGCTCTTAATCTCAAAAATTATATAATTTAGGTATAGCAAAATAACTCAATCTTAATTTCCAGTGGAGAAGTGGTTGGTTATCCAAGAGAGGTTTATTCAGTGAGGGACTATTTCTACTGCACAACCATTCAACGAAATGTTTTGGCTTTTTTTTTTTTTGGTTAAAAAGCTAAAATTCCTAAAGGAAATGCCTAGAACAAATGTTACAACATTCTAAGAAGCAGCATTAGTGGGGTTCACAGATTAAGAAATTATATAAATTTAAAGAAAGACTGAGATGCTTCTACAGTAAGTAAATTTTCATTTCTATTCATAAAAACACTTAACAGGGAGGCAGGCACATAGGAAATTCTCAATAAATACTGAAGGATAAAGAAAAGAGTTTACGTACTTCCTTCACCTCCTTGAAAATGCTTACAAATTCTTCATTGATGGCTAAACTTTTGCGTTCAATATCTCCACGTAAATTTCTTCTAGTCCGCAAACTATTCTCAACAAAAAAGGTTGAGAGTGCCTTGAGAGCTTCCAACATCTCCTATTCAATTGATTAAAAAAAAGAAAATTACTGGAATCAATTTTCAAATATTTTACCAAAATTTAATGAAATCATTTTCAAATATATTTTTCATCATATAATCAGAAAAATATTGGAAGACCTTCACATTACTGAACAGTAAACTTATTTCCAAAACACAGCAAGGATATACTTACTTGTACTACATATATAAGTATTACACACAAAAGACTATTTGCTGTAGAATACCTTGGCACTGCAAAGGTTGGAAATAAATGTAATGTCCATTTAAAGGTAATTGATTAAATAAATTATGCTATATCCATTTTTAAAAGTGGAAATTCTTTACATGTTTAGATAATATGAAGACACAGTAAAATAGCAAGGTATAGAAATATCTATAACACTGTTTAAAAAAGGACTATATACAAGGATTTTTACTAGCATATACAATGCTAATACAAGCATTTTAATGTGTAAACTATCTCTGGAAATCCTTCAAGAAATAAGAATACAAAAAATGAGTAATCAGTTTCCAGGCAAAGAAGTGAGTAGAACTAGGAGCAGAATTCTACGAATTCTAAGGTGACTTCTGAACTTTGGTCTGAGTGGGAAGAAAGAGGACTCCATGGGAACAACACCCGTTTAAGACATGGAAGCAACCAGTGCAAAGACCCTAACGCTGCTGAAAGTCCAGTGTGACTGAAGCTATGTAAATAGCTGGAAGTTTTAAGCAAAGGAGTAAAATACCCAATTTTGTAGGTTAGTTTATTCCAACTTTGTGAAGAGAATGGTTGGCAGAGGGGAAAAGAAGCAGGCAAGAGGAAATTAAAATAATCCAAGCAAGATTTGACAGTGGGGGCCTCCCTGCAGTGCAAAGTATTAAGACGCAACCTATAAAGCTATCCACAGCCACTGCAGCTTGAGTTTGATCCCCAGCCAGGGAGCTACCCACATGGCACAGCAGACCTCTCCTGACTTGCCCGCTGATCAGAACAAATGTTACAGCAGTGTATTTCAGTAGATCCGCCTGTTCTGCTCCCCACTCTGTCTCTGGTGAATCCTCTCACCCCCCCATACCTCTGGCCTGTACCCCAGTTCTTGAATGCATAAATAAATCTATCTCAAAAAAAAAAAAAAAAAAAGATTTGACAGTGACCTAGATCAAGATGGTAGAACTACAGATAAGGAGCTATTCCAAAAGAAAAATTTTCAAGGTAGAACCTGAATGGACTGGATGTGAAATATGAAAAAAAAAAAAAAAATGACAGGAATCAAAAATTACTTATACACATCTTGCTTGCATGGGTAAATCTGATATTCTTTATTAACACTAAAGAAAAATCAAGAGTTCTGGTCATGTGAAGTTTTATGATGCCCATTTGGAGGTATCACACAAGATACTGATTGTACAAATGTGGACCTCACTAGAGATGTCAGAACAAAGTTTTACATTTGAAATTCGTCTCTTTATTGTGTAAAGCCATGAAAAAAAAGTGAATCCTCCTGAAGAAAGAATAGAAAAGGGCAGAAGACCAAGCCCAAAATAACCGAAAGTACCCTACATCCTACAGTTATAAATAGCTATACCTAAACTAACAAATAATTCTAACAGGCTTGCCCTTTTATGTTCCTGTAACAACGTTATTTTGAAATATTGGCTGGATTGAGGAAAATAGTAGTTATTTAAATTCAATTTAATATTTAGGAGAAAGCAAAAATGTCTTTAAAGATACAAATATTTATTATACAAAAAAAAAAAAAACCCATAAAATAAATCCATATCTTTTTGACTACAGCTTTAAAATGTGCTAGGATCTGGCTTAAGGAAGTAGTCAGTAAACGTTGAAATCACAAAGTTGCACGCTCAGGTGCAAATTATGGCTCCAGCAGTTACTAGTTTTTGACTTAACCTAGTTACACTCTGTCCATACCTTACTTTTCTCATGGGTAGAGACATCTCAATTTACCACTTCATTCAAATGTCAATTTTCGTCACATTAAACACTTAATAAGTTGTATGATAAGACTACATTCAATAAGAAACAGTAAGTACCAGGCACTGTGCAGAGCACATCACCTGGATTCTCTCATTAAACCCTCACAACAATGTCAGGGAAGTTACTAACCTTAGTCCCAACTTAGAAGCCATGAAGACTAAACACATTAGGAAACTTAAATCATAATGTACCAATTTGGTGGTTGTATCTAATAGTGGTGGTCCCAGAGCCCATCTTTCTTCTGTTATAATGCTATGTTTATACACAAAATCTCACTGACAGCTTATTTTCGGTTACCTGCAAATTTATCTGTCAAATACATTCTCACTTCCGAATGTATTTTGTCTTTATGCTGTTAGGGGGAAAAGGCGGTCCCAAAGCAAATTCCATACAGGCTTTGTGGACTCCACCCCCACCCCAGGTCAAAGCCAAAGACACTGGGAACTCCAAATCCCATCACCACCAAAGGGAAGGTGGCTGGGACCTGAGGGTGGGGTTAAGCAGCCAGGTGGATACAAAAGGCAGACACGTGGGCTTTGGGGGGCTCTCCATTTTGGGCTCTGGGCCAGCGCGGAGCCTCCGGCCAGCTCTGGGAGTGACTTTGGGTTTCCAGGTCGTCGGATCGGGTAGGACGCATTAAAGACTTTATTTCCCTATTTTCTCCCTGAGTTGTACATTTTCCTTATTTCCTTTCCTCTTGTAAATAAACCTTTTATTAACCCTTTTGTGTGTGTCTGTAGTAGAGTATTCATAAGTCCCTTTAAAGCGCGCGGGTGAGGACCCACAGCCAGGAACCCGTTTAATATCGGGGTTGCTCTATAACAATGCTGCATTGATATGACCAATTTACCTGGTGACCCAATGATGCAGAGGAGATAACCAGCTATTACAGGAGCTGCAGAGACCAAGCTAAGTTCCAGGTGGCACTTGAGAAAGGATACGCACAGTTTATCTCCCCAAGAAATACAGCCTGAGCCCCCAAATCATAGACAGTGCTTAGCTAACAACAAAAACTAGTAGCCATCACTTCATCTGAGCCATGAGCAGGCAGATATTCTTTTGCGCTGCAAATAATTTTTGATTTCACTTGTCAATGGAAACGACCAATTACGTCCACCCCAGTTCACCAGCTCCCCCCAACCCCGATTCGCGCTGCCCTTTCTTGCAGTGTTCTCGTGCCCCGCTTCTCACCCCGCCCCGGGCTCACCTCCCCAGTTCCCCAGCTCAGAAAGCCGAACACGTCCGGGGGTGGGGGCTCCACCGTTTGCACCCCCAGACTTTCAGGACCCTTTTCAGGTAGTTATTACCCAGGAAAACTCTTTGCACTCCCAGGGGTTCCAAGGTGCCCCCCTCCTCACCAGCGAGGGCAGAACAGAAGATCCCGCGGGTCTGGGGTCCCATCAGCCGCGGGGCCGAGGGAGTCGGTACTGGGGTGCTTGGCAAATGCGGCCCCCGGGCGTCCAAGCCCCGCGGAACCCCGCGGGACCCCGGTCCCACCAACCGCGGTTACCTTGTCATTGTCCAGTCGCGTCTCCAGGATCTTATGCAGCTTCCGCGACAGCGGGTTGTTGGTCGGCGCCGAGGCCCCTCCAGCCCCATTGTTCTGGCCGTTGGCAGCCCCGGACGGCGGCACAGCGACTACTTCCCCGCCGCCCTCAGCCATCGCGCCGCTCGCCCCGCCCCCGGCTCCCGAGTCGCCACCTCAGCCCTAGAGAAGCAGCAGCGCCGGCACCGCGGGAACTGCGCATGTGCACAGGAAATCGCGCGTGCGCCCTCGTCCCCTGAAGGCAGCCCGGCCAGACTCCAGGAAGGCGGGAGGCGGGGCCAGACGCTGAGGCTGCTGGGAGGAGGCTAAAGCGAGAATTTGCGAAGTGGTTTGAAATTCCGGCCACTTTCATAGAGTTTGGAGATTAAGGTTTGTAGAATTTCAAGGACTTTGGAGTCATGAATGTATGAAAGCGTGAGCTAAGCATAATAAAACACACTGAGACTTGTTTCTGACAACACGTTCAGTAAGTTTAATTAAATTCACTTTACCAGATATATTTTTGGAAAATATTTATTGAATCCATATTATGTGCCAGGCACTCTGATAGGCATTGGGAGATATGTGTTATGTGTCTGAGACAAGAGATAATCAGTGTTCTTGGGAGAAAATGAAGAAAAGGGGATGAGAATAATCAAGGGGCCTTGCCTATTTTACCCAGTGGGGGAAGGAGTTGCTATTTCTACTGAGATTTGAAAGAGAATCCAACCATGGGGAGAAATTATTTTCAGGTGGTACAGATTTTAAGTGCAAAGGGTAACAAGACCAAATTTAACTATTCCACAAATTGACCAAAATCAGTATAGCTACAAAGTAACTCAAGATGAGAAATGAATTCCCAGGAAAGATTGAATGACAAACTTGTATTTTTTTTCTCTTCTCAGTTTGAAAAATTTAGATCAGAATAAAATCTCTGAGCCTCTGTGAAATATTTTTCTTAAACATTAACCATTTAGCTTTTACCCTTAATCTGTCTTTTCTCATCTGTCTTTCTGACTTTGAGGAAAATTATTACACATGTTACTTAAAGAAAGCTTTTACAAAAAAAACCTCATCACTACTGTAGTAAGTGAAGACTAGCAAGAAGAAAAAGAAAAGACACAAAAGACAAAAAATACAGGTATGAATTAAGTAAGTGCTAGCGAGGAAACACAAAACTTAAATAAATGAAAAGATACATTGTACTTTTCAACAGGAACACTCACTATTGTAAAGATACCATTTCTCTTTAACATATAAATTCAAATTTAATGTAATCAAAATTAAAATATCAAAGGTGTGTGGGCCTCCCCTGGTGGCGCAGCGGTTGAGCACTGGGCTGCAAAGCTTTCCGCAGCCTCTGCAGCACCGATTTGATCCCGGGCTGGCCCCTGGGCATGGGTCCCACATGGTGCGCTGACCTCTCTTGCCGCGCCCGCTGTTCCCCTCAGCAGTGTATTTCGTCCCTCTGCATGTTCTGTTCCCCACTCTGGCTCTGGTGAATTCTCTCACCCTCCCGCGCTTCTGACTGTACCCAGTGCTTGTATAAATAAAATCTTTAAATATATATATCTCAAAGGTGTGACTGAGTGTGTACATCTAAAAATATTTTGACTGAAAAATCAATAATGTCTTAAGATATGTACAAATAAAATAAATTACAATGATATCACACAAAGTGAGGAAGTCACAAAAGTTCACATATTGTATGATCTCATTTATATGTAATCTCAGAAAAGGAAAATCTATAGAGAGGGAAAATAAACTATTGATTGTGGGGGGAGGGTGTTGGGAAGAGAAAATGGGGAGCAACAGTCCCTGATGCAGGTTTGTTTTGGATGATGAAAATGTTCTAAACCTAGATTGTGGTGATGGCTGTACATCTCTGTGAATAATCAAAGAACCACTGAACTGTACATTTTTAATTGTATGGTAAGTAAATTACATCTCAAAGTTGGTTTTTCTTAAAGATTTATTTTATTTATGCATACAAGAACGGGGTACAGGCCAGAGGTGTGGGGGGTGAGAGGATTCACCAGAGGCAGAGCAGGGAACAGAACAGGCAGATGGACTGAAGTACACTGCTGAGGGGAGCAGCGGGTGAGGCAGGAGAGGTCTGCTGCGCAATGTGGGTTTCTTCCTGGCTGGCAATAGCTTCAAAGGTTGTGTCTTAACCCCTTGCACCACCAGGGAGGCCCTCAATGTTGGTTTTTTAAAAGTGAGGAAGAAAGTAAATATTGAAGGGCCTCCCTGGTGGTGCAAGGGGTTAAAATGCAGCACTATGAATCTATACACAGCCACTGCAGCACGAGTTCAAGCCCTAGCCAGGGAGAAACCCACATGGCTGAGCAGACCTCTCCTGTCTCCACCGCTGCTCCCCTCAGCAGTGTATTTCAGTAGATGCACCTGTTCTGCTCCCCACTCTGTCTCTGGTGAATCCTCTCACCCCCCCACACCTCTGGCCTGTACCCCAATTCTTGTATGCATAAATAAATAAATCATATCAAAAAAAGAAAGCAAATATTTTCTCTTACTCTGGAGGTGATCTTTCATTTTTTAAAGGGGGACCTTTGAAACACAAATGATTTTAATGTTATCAAGTTCAACTTATCAAGCTGCTTCTTTGTTATTTGTACTTTTGGTGCAATACTTAAGAAATTATTGCTTGGGGCCTCCCCGGTGGCAAAGCGGCTGAGCGCTGGGTTGCGAAGCTGCCCGCAGCCTCTGCAGCGCGGGTTCGATTCCTGGCCACCGGTCGAGGGTCCCGCATGGCACGCAGACCTCTCCTACCGCGCCCGCTGCTCCCCTCAGCAGTGGATTTCGTCCTTCTGCCTGCTCTGCTCCCCGCTCTGGCTCTGGTGAATTCTCTCACCCTCCCGCGCTTCTGACTGTACCCAGTGCTTGTATAAATAAATAAATAAATCTTTAAAAAAAAAAAAGAAATTATTGCTTAACCCAAGATTATGAATAATTAATTGTACCTGTGTTTTTATTCTAAGTCTTCTAGTTTTTGCATTTATACTTAAAAGTCTGTGACCCACTTTGAGTTAATATTTGGAAATGGTATTAGATAGGGATCCAGCTTTATTATATGTTGAATATAACTATCTAGTTGACGTTAGTGCTATTTGTTGAAAAGACAATTATTTTCCCCATATGAACTTTTCAATAGATGCAGAAAAAGCAGACACTCATTTCTGATAAAACAAACTTCTGGCAACTAGAGTAAGACTCAATTGGATTAAGAGGATCTCAAACACTGCACATGGTGACATATTTAAAATTCTTCCTCTGTAACCAGGAATAAATCAAGAATATCCACTACTTTTCATTAGCATACAGGAGGTTACAGCTAGAATAATAAAGCAAGAAAAAGAGGCAGAAAAAGTTCCGCGCGGCTGGCAGCGCCTGGCGCTCCAGAGAGGCCGTGGCGCGGGACGGACGCCCTCCCCGCTGGGGGCAGCAGGGGGCGCTGCGCAGCCCCGCGGTTCCTCCCGCGCCCGCCGCGCTCTGCCGCCGGGCGACTCGCCCCGTAAGGACATCAATGGATATTATAAAGGGCAGTTTAGATGGAACTTCAAAACCAGCCTCAAGTTCAACTACGTCTTTGCAGGTGCTCTCCCCGGAACCCGGGTCCTTCAAGGTTGATAGTACAATCAAGATGAGCTCTAGTAAAGAAGGCCACTCGGAAATCAGTAATGCAGGAGACTGTAGAAACAGAAATGATGACAAAGAAGAAAACTATTACGAGAAAATAAAATTGGTTGAAAAGGGGTCAGATGAAGATCTGAACATGGTTCAACATCAGCCAAACCCTGAATGTTCAGATACACCTGAATTAATAGATTCTCAACATCAAGATGCTATTCAGATGCTTGATAAGATATTGGTGAAAATGTAACAGGGTGGTCCCCAGGAAAGGGGGAAGTTCCAGGTTCCCTGCCCCACCCAAGGGAGGGTGGAGCTGAGCAGGAAGGGGAGAAGCTGAAGAAGAGACTGAGGAAGGAAGGAAGCAGGATGGAGTCAGGAGACCTGGAGGAGGCGCATGGAGCCTAGAGACACGTGAAGAAACTGCCTTGTCTTTTGGTCATGGACTGGGTGACACAGATGTGGGTGAGACCCGTGGGGAGGTGACAATGGCAGCTTTTATCTTGATGTTGATTTTGCTCTTTTCCTTCCGGGCTTATCCGGTTGTTTGTGACCCTTTTCTGTGGGTCCCCACTGGAAGATGCTTTAGACTTGTAGCAGGCTTTGGAGCCTTGTTCTGGGCCGATCCCATATGGATGGACTTTTACCCACAAGGGGACGGGTAACTTTGGGTGCTTCATTCAGAAACTAGACTCTTTGCCTTACCTGTATTGTTTCCTAGTTTTATTAAAGATCCTTCCCATTAGTCTCATGTGTTTTGTGTTGATGCGGCTGATGGCCGAACCCATTTAGAATAGGCAGGTTTGCGGGGTTTGGGCTGCCCCTCTCCCTGTCCTATAACAAAAAGACAAATAGAGAAAAAGAAATTAAGAAGCAAGGTCTAGAATTGAGACTAAAACTGTGGGAAGAACCTAAGTCTGCAAAAACTAGTGAAGCTTTGCAAAGTAACAAGGAGACAAAATACAAAAAAGTTTCTGGCTTTAACTACTGCATCAGAAGAAATTGTTGATGGTGTCGTGTCATATGTAGAAGCATCAGAGTTTGAGGGAGTGACTGTATAGAGAGACCTTTAAAAGCCAAAACCTAGGACAGGTTTTCTCACGACAAAGGAAACAGCCTCGCAAGCATTCTACAGGTTTCTTGAACTGGGTAAATTTCAGTCTCTGGTAAGTCCTATCAACACACCTCTTGGAAGTTGCTTTTTCGTGAAGGCTGAAAAGCCACTGGGGTTCCCCTCAGGCGGGGGCTGTGGCCTCTGGCTCTGACTCCATAAAGAGCCACTGTGATGTCACCGGCAGAGCCTACATAAGCCCTGCCTGGAATGCGGCTGTCCTTAGGAGCCAGGAAGCTTTGGGATAGTGACCTGTGGACTCACTCAGATGGAGAGAGCGTGTGTTGGTTTATTGGGATTTCTTTTGGTTTATTTACTTATTTATTTTAGTTACTTTGTTTTTATTTCTTTGGTTTTTTCTTATTTTCCTTTATTGTTTTATTATTTGCTTGTTTTTACTTTTTTCTGTTTTTTCTTTATTATTTTAATTTTTTGAGTTTTTAATTTTTTAATTTTTTTTATTTCCCCCATTTTCCCTTGTGTTATTT